TGGAAAAAGAGGATGGAAAAAAGAGTCAACGAGATAGTGGCGAAAGTAAAGAAGAAAAGGGAAAGGAGTCAGAAGAGAAAGAGGGGGAGGTGAAGATAGAGGTGTGTTTGGCAGACGAAGAGTGGGAGGAGTCTGAAGTGACAGTTGGAGGGGGGTATAAGAACGAGGAGGGGGTGGTGTGGTTCAGTTCGGTAGTGGAAGGTTATGAGAGAAAGAAGAGAGAGGAAAGACGGAGGGCTTTTGAAAGGGTCCGCACCCAGGGATTATTGAGAGATTTTCCACATTTGAAAGAAGGTGGCCTGCTGCCCGATCCTCCTAGTGTAACCGAGACTTTTCTGCGCAAATTGGTGAAAGAGTGGAATGTAATTGTGGCACCCAGAGAGCTAGAGTTACAACGCGAACGCGCATGGTTGACAGCTGAAGAACACGAAGGTCCCGACGAAAGAGGGTGGTACAGACACAAATGCTGTGGGACCATTTGCGCAATGAGGAGTCTCCCACCTCCTCAGAAGGAGCCGCGGGGATCATGTGGGATCCGCCGCCTGTAACTCCCTGGGAGTTTGATCAAAGCTTGAATATTGTTGAAGATGGCTTGTTGCCTAGTTTGAAACCGTTGAACCCGTTTAAAGATGTGCTGGTGGAAGTGGAGTTAAATAAAAGTTCCAATGTTAATGTTATACAGACTCAACCTGTCTTATTTCCCGCCGAAAATGAGGGGCTGCCTGAGGGAAAGAACGAAGCATCTTGCACTTGGGCATGTCGTGAGAATGGCTGACGGTCAGATTCCAAAAGATCTTCTGTATGGAGAATTAGTGTAGGGAAATCGCCCCAGAGGGAGACCACAGCTGCGATACAAGGATATGTGCAAGCAGGATCAGAAGGCCTTAGGAATGGACCTCAACAGATGGGAAACCTTGACATCTGAGCATTCAGCCTGGAGGCAGGCGTTGCATCACAGCCTCTCCCAATTTGAAGAAAACCTTGTCCAGCAGGCCGAGGCAAAAAGGCAGTCCTGAAACCAGCAAAATCAGGGAGCTGGACAGGGGACATTGTACAGTATTTGTCTTCAGTGTGGAAGGGATTGTCACTCTCGAATTGGCCTTCTCAGCCACACTAGACGCTGTTCCTCCATACAGAGCACGTTACCATAGTCTCTCGAGACTGAAGGATGCCTAATCTAAAAAGATGCTCAAAGGTCATTTGTTCATAGTGAAGGAGAAAACAGAAAATCAGAGAAGAAGACAAAAGGGTTCGCAGAGCCTAGAGGGATTGGGGAAAGGTCTTGCTGTGCCAGGAGAGCCATGGATTAGGGTTGCAGGGAACGGAGGGCCCCAATGTCTGGAGACAGGGAAGGGCTCACAGGCTCACCCCAAATAGTACCCTCCCCAAAAGGACAACCCAAAAACCAGGGGTGGGGAAACTCTGTCCCCTTTCTTCTTCTTCTCCTTCTCCTCCTCCTCTGTAACAGCTGCATGTAACAGACAGAAACTCAGGCAGCACAGCTGCTCCTTTTCATCCATACATCCTTACTTGATTGTCCTCATCAGTTTTCTCCATAGATGCACTCAAAGCACAACAAAACACAGTAGTGGTAGCACAATGACAGAAATTGCCACTAATGGTAAATACTAATTTGGAATTTGATGACAAATGAGTTGGTTTCAAAGCATACCCAGGAAGTGGTTGAGTGTTTTTTAAAAAAAAAATTATGCAGATTAGATCATCTGCTAATCATGCTGCTTTTAGTTAGTCAGCAGTCAGCCCCTCTGAGTTAAATGGGGTTTAGTTTAGCGAATGTTACAGTTCCTTAAAATTGAATGCCAATTATCCCTCATGTTGCTTCAGGGAGTGAGTTTCAAGTTTCACTCTTGGACACACAGACAGCTCATCAGTCACACTGGTGGGTGTATAAACAGTCCTTCCATGTTCAGCCTGTTCTGAAGAAGGCTAGCATTGGACATGGTCCTGTTGCTACCTTGGGCTGAGGGTGGGGACAACAGAAGAGAGAATAGAAGGAGGGGAGTGGGTCTGCTGTCATCTCCATGCCCCAGAGTTTAATCCGAGGTTTCATGGATTGGATTTTCTGATGCTTAGCAGACAGGATTACCTCTATGTCACAGCAGTTCCTTTCATGTCTCGGTTGCATCTCATACAAAAGCTGGTGGTCGCATCTCATACGAGAGCTGGCTATTTAAATGATTAATGTTACTTTTTCCTAGGCATTTTCTGAAATGAAGAAACTTCTCCTAATTGATGTTGATTGTGGCACTGATGATGCTGCAGCTATCATGATGGCTCTAGCCTCTCCTAGTGTTGAAGTCCTGGGAATTACCTGCTGTTATGGAAACTCTCTCTTGGAAAATACATGTAAAAACGTACTCCGTGTGTTATACGTTTGTAACAAACTTGAGGTAATCCTCTGAACAATACTTTCAAAGCATCTCAATTGTTAGCATCATACGAGTAGTTCATAACGTGAGAAATCAACAACTTGATGTTCAAGAGTAGCTCATGGACCAAGTGGGGGCTACACCCCCAAACCGCTGGGTCAATTCCCCCCCCCCGAGTTGTAGCTATGACAGTGAGCCACTTAAGTGCCTATTTTATGCATATTTGTTTGCATGTAAAGTCCATGTTGCAGACAATAGCTGTGTGACTGAACTGTCTTGTCAAAAATTGTGGAAGTGAGTGATTAGCTGCTACCTCATTCAGCTAATGAATTGTCACCCATGCAATTACAGTATTATAATCAACCATATGGATTCATGGATATGCTACACGAAAGCACATTTATAGCATAAATTATTATGAAGTAAGTGGATTCAAGATTTAGTTTAAGGTGGGATCTTTAATGTACTTATTTGGCCCAGTTCAGATCAAAATAGCCTGATTCCCAATATATTTGATATATTTAAATGCATTTAAGATTGTAGTAAAATAGAGTTTCCTGATTTTGTGCTACTTGAAATCCAAGAAGCTAAGCACAACTTCTGGATTTAAAAGGAGATTTAATTCAATGCCAAATATTATTAGTAATAGATATGCACATATTAAACTGGCTGGATAGCTCAGTCGTTTATATTTCTGGCTGTGGAGCCAGAGGTGAGGGGCATTTAAGATTGTAGTAAAATAGAGTTTCATGATTTTGTGCTGCTTGAAATCCAAAAAGCTAAGCACAACTTCTGGATTTAAAAGATTTAATTCAATGCCAAATATTATTAATAATAGATATGCACATATTAAGCTGGCTGGATAGCTCAGTGGTTTATGTTTCTGGCTGTGGAGCCAGAGGTTACGAGTTTGATTCTCCACTGTGCTTCCTGTGTGTAGAGCCAGCCTGTGTGGCCTTGGGCAAGCTGCACTGGCTCAGGGTGCCCTCAGAAGAAGGGAATGGCAATCCACTTCTGTGTATTCTCTACCCAGAAATCCCTGGAAAGCATTGCCATAAGTCAGAACTGACTTGACATACAATTATTATTCACATATTATTCTCATAAGTCAGAACTGACTTGATGACATACAACTATTATTCACATATTATTCTTCCAAGCAAGCTTAAATGCCCAGTGATGATGAACTATAAGACTGCATGCAGAGGGCATATAGATTAGAAGTGGGACCACTCAAATGCTCAGTAGCAGCTAAGATCACAAATTTGAAGAGCAGAAGTGATCTAGAGACCTGCATCTGCACTGGGATCATCATGAAGAGTATGGCCAGCATCAGTTGAAACAAGAAGGGTGTCACATCCTCCAATTATTCTTTAAATTCCATATTTGTTTGGGAGGATTTTACCTACAAAAAGATGCTTTGAACTTTACAGGCTTTTTCTGTATGTTAAACTGAGTGAAATTGTGGTAAAAAGAGGATGGCTGAGGAATGGCGTCAGTGGAGAAGGGGCAGGAATTCATACCATCTGAGCCAGAATACAAATATGTTTTTAGGAAAAGGTTAGTTGCTTTATAAATGTGTCTAGTGTGTTCTAACATGAAGGGGTGCTCCTCTGACCATTTCAGATTTAGAAGATTTACTAGCTGACCGTAGTCTCAGCAGCTATTTCCCATCATCATTCAGTTTCTACAGAGTCAAGTGTTGGTGTTTTCTAAATTCCTATTGCATTGACATCATACCTTGTACAGATTCCCGTTTATCCTGGTGTTGCTCTTCCAATGATCGGTGGACCACCTGTGCTGGAATTCTATTATGGAAAGGATGGATTGGGTGATGTTCCAGATCCCAGTGCTCCAGGATTAGACCTTCTGCAGAAAGAACATGCTGTGCATGCAATAATAAGAATAGTCAATGAACATCCAGGGCAGGTGAGATGATACAGGGCTCTTAAATCTGTAATAGGCTAATATTATAACTCTTTCCACAACGACTGGCTGATAATGTCCTTCAGGCATGTCTTTCACTTCCTCCTAGAACATTCTACAGCAGGACTCAAATTCATATGGCAGCATGGACTTCCTATTAAGATCAATGATGCCAACTCAAGTATTTCCCTACAGTTGATTAGTGGTTTTATTCCATTTTACAACTTTGAGAAAAACAAGAAAAAAATGCAAAGACATAGGGTCACAATAACACATATTCTTCTGCTTCTACATGAGGCTATGCTTCTGTAAAGGGATTCTGTATAGTTAGGAATCACTCTTTTTCACAATAGTAAATGAAACATCCATTAGGTATCTATGCATACAAATTCGTGTTGAAGGTTGAAGTACATGTGTGGATAAAGTTACTGCTGCTGCTAAAGCATGCCCTCAAAAGTGGCAAGAACCATGAGGTCCTCTAGGTATTGTATAACAAACAGAAGTGTCTTGTCCTTATAAAAAGGAAAGACAAGACTTCCAGCTGTTGAAAGGTTTAATATAAAGCCACTGCTATTGTCCATCGGACAGTTTGCACCACGATTCAGAATGCATAGATCTCCACAGCTTTCAACAATGTCTCCATCACAAAATTACAGTGCATAGCCAACTCAACTGATATTTAAAAGTTGTCCCAGTAATACTGTAAAGAGAAATAGCAGATAGTACCATTTCCTTTTTCTAGCTATTTACTCATAAATAGTTATTGGGCCATTGTGATCAGAAAATGATTTAAAAGCAAATTTATGAGAAAGTGGACATAGTCTGGTAAGCATAGCAGACTTGGTTAGCTTGGGGATAGCATGGCTGCAAGGGAATGTAAAACATGCATCATAACAAGGGCCAAGGAATGCTGCCCCCAAATGCAAACAAGGTTTCATTGTGGGCAAGGCCTTAATATCTACACTAGGAGACCAGCTGGCAAAATATTTTATTTTCAGTGTAGTTTAAAATACACATTTAGTAACTCTGAGCTCATGGTTTTGTTACATTATCATACAGTTTCCAAATGATGAAGAAACTGACTGAGCCTGTAAGAATCATTAAAGCAGAAGAAATGTAGCATATTTAACTACAGAGAGGGTTTTGTTGTGTACCGAATGTTCAGAACAAGTTAATTTGCATTAGAAAATTACTGTGTTATGTCTAATAGGTTTCTCTCATTGCTACTGGTCCCTTGACAAATTTAGCACTGGCAGTGAAAATGGATCCAACATTCCCTGAGAAACTTAAAAATGTCATCATCATGGGAGGAAACATGGAAGGTGAGTGATCTGAAAAGGGCTTTTCTGGCATGGTCATATCTGCTTCAATCTTCATATTTCACAAGTTATCTATAAAAAATAATATTTCCCTCAAACTGCCACAGTACACCGATGTTGGAATTATTTATAAAGTGACAGAAAACATTAATCCCCATAAAAAAGAGTAGTGCCACCTTAATGACTCACAGTACACCGATGTTGGAATTATTTATATAAAGTGACAGAAAACATTAATCCCCCTAAAAAAAGAGTAGTGCCACCTTAATGACCGTTATATTTCGATATGAGTGTTTGTGGATAACTCCACTGTGCCATCTGAGGAACTGGATTTCTCCAGGAAAGCTCACATTGAAATATAGCAACGTGAAGGTGCCACTATATTTTTCTTCGGATATACTGTTTCCCTGAAAATAAGACCTAACCTGAAAATAAGCCCTAGTGTTATTTTTTCAGGATCCTTGTAATATAAGCCCTATCCCAAAATAAGCCCTGGTTAAATAAAACCCTGTCCCACCATAATGCAGCAACCAGAAGAAGATGACAGGACTGTATTTGAATAAATGTAGATTCTTATACACGAAAAAAATGAAATATCCCCTGAAAACAAGCGGTTTTTTAATATAAGACCCTGTCTTATTTTTGGGGAAACACGGTACTTGCATTAAACTACAATAATATAAAGTGAGGTTGATCTGAGTAACCTGGATCCTATTGGTGTTCAAGTAAGGTTTGCATAACTTGCTGTGGCTATCTGTGACTAATTGATGAGGTGCCAGGGCCCATCTTGATCACATGGCTGGTAACATGCCTGATTGTGCAACTGAGAGCTCGACTACACCATCAGATACTTTGAGATTTGCTCCACTTATACAACAGGTGAATCTGAATTAGGTTTTCCTGCCTACATGACTGTTTTCAATCCTGGTCAGAGGCTATTACTTTTTTCTTGCCTGGAAGATTCAAAAGGGCCTTTTCCTATGCAGATGGAAGGGTAGCTTGTCTGTAAAGGGGGGGAAGAGTGGAAGGAGAAGCATCATCAGGGAGAAAAAAGAGTGAGGAGTGGTGTGTGTTTGTGTGTGTGTGAAAAAAGGGAACAAAAGCGGGGAGAAAGAGCATGCTTGTGCACGCGCGTGCACACACACACACACACGGGGCGCTAGTACTCACCTCTCTTTGCAAAGCTTCTGCTCCCCTAAGCTGCCAGTTTGTCAATAGTTAAAAAGAAAGTTTATGGGGTGCTGAGGTGTTGCCCTAAAAATAAAAAGTGCTTCTTAAAACGTGCCTCGCAAAGTTGCTGAGAAACTGAACATCAGACAGGAGTATGACTTGATTGTTATTGTTTACAAAATAAGTACAATTGAAAAACGATAGCTTGGGAGATAGTTTACATTACAGTCAGTTTGTTTTGGTACAAAGCTACTGATAAGATAATAAGGCAGGAGTAACTCATTTGGTTTCATAACAGTTTTCAGAAGAAAGAGTAAATAATGATATGATGATGTAATGTGAATGGACAACGAGAAAAGAGAAAAAAAGTGAGATGCGTTTAAAATGCCACTTATGTTGTGTTTTACCTATAATGTTAATTGACAAAGAGATACCACAAAATACATGTGGAAACCTGTGTTAGGCAATGGAGAATAACAATGTATTGTACAATAAAACCTTTTACAGAATATTATAAAAGGAGAAAAAGATTAATGTTATTTTAAGCTGTTTGTTTAATGATAGGCAAGTAGAGAAGAAATGTGTGATTTGCTTTGTAAAATTTTAGCCTTATCATTAATAATAATTAAGTGTTCTGAAAAGCAGTAAATTTTTATATTGCTCTGTAAGCCCATTGATCAGCATAAATATGACCCACATCTCTTGACACTACCAGCGAATTGTTCCCACTGCACTATGGTAGGGTACCAATAAGCTACATATGCCCTTGGCAGGGTTACTTCAGTGATAAGCTACTCCAGCAGAATGTTCCCACTGCAATAAGCTAGATAAGCTATGCCACGTGGTCACTTTCATAGCAATGTCCTATATGAATAATGTGCTAGCCTTGGTGATGAGACAAGTTGTTTTGGTTTGATTAAAATTAAATACAGGATAAAATCACATATACAGTAGTATTATTGAATGAGACACGACAGGAGGCATATACAGAGCAGACGTAAAGCATGGAACTGATATCAGGTGTTCGTAAAAAGTGATGTTCTCTATATGTGGCCATGAGGTTGTACATGGGGAGGTTCTACCTGTGCGCATATAAGTATGAAGTCGTTCTTAGAAACAAAAGAGATTACTTTGTTCTTGTTCTATTAGGCAGAGGAAATGTTACAGTCAAGTCGTTCTTAGAAACAAAAGAGATTACTCTGTTCTTGTTATTCTATTAGGCAGAGGAAATGTTACAGTTTGTGGAGAATTTAATTTTGCAACTGATCCAGAAGCTGCCAACATTGTCTTAAATGAATACACCTGCCCAACTTATATTGCAACATGGGAGTTTGTCCTTTCCAATCAGCTCTCCTGGGTAAGATATATTTGCAGTCATCCTCTCCATTGAATAAACTCTATTGAAGCTGATGTAACTAGCCTCTCAGTAGACATAGATTATGCTCTAAAGATCTGTTAATACGGGCTCATCTCTAAACAATTGCTTAGGCATTTGCTGGTGTCCTGTTAGGGGAAACATTTCTACTCTTGTTATTTAGGCAACACTAACTTGTTCTGTTAACCAGACTGCATTACATTTCCCATATTGAACCTGTATTTTTGTGTGCTCAGGAAAATTGCACTAATGGTGGAGCGAAAGGTTTTTAAAAAAGTATGAAGATAAGAAGTCTTTATACAATTTTTGCCTTAGTGAATATTTCAGTAATAACAGTAGATTCATGTAAGAGTATAATGCAGGCAATGCAACAAGCAAGAGCATTTCAAAGGCTTTCTAGAATTCTCAAAGAAAATTGTATTTCAGCCAAAGATTGCACTCAAGTTATGTTATTTATTCCATGAAGGAGAGGAGAAATCAAGATGAGGACAAGTCTTCTCATCTTCTAAAGTCTCAGTACTATTCCTCATATTTACATTATGAATTGGATATAATCTCTTAATAACGTCTAAATATCAGGTTAAAATATTTTGCTTCCCTTCTTTTTTCGGCATTTCCAGACAAGAAACTTCCATGCACAAGAGGACTTTGGGCTTAGGTCTTCTTAAATGTCCTTCCCAGGAGTAGGGTGTCCTTGAGCTACGTAGTAGCTCCTCCATGCCCCAGGACATTTCCACACTTCTTCATTTCTTTCAGCACCATAAACACGAATTGTGAAATATTTACTAACTAAGCAGTTCTTCAACCACCTCTCTTCTCAATTGCAGAAACAAATCAATTTAGAAACAAAATTATATTTGAATAATGGAGCTAATTATATGGCTCCTTAAACCCTGACTAAAATCTTGCATTATTCATAACCTAGAGGATAAAACTAAATAAATCTCCTCTTGATAGTTGACAACCCAAATTTTGGACATCATTTCCATTCTGGAAAAATGTGTTAGAAGATCCATGTAGTGTTTTTTTTTATGCCATCCTTACGGTGTCCTGCTGGTGTTTGCTTATTTCTATGTCTATTACAATGGCTCGCTCACTGAGTTAGGTAGGCTGAGAGTTCAATTCCCCATTGTACCTCCTAAGAGAAGATCCAGCCCATGTGGTCTTGGGCAAGCTGCACAGCCCCAGGTCATCCCCAGAAGAAGGGAATAGCAAATCACTTCTAAGTACTCTCTACCTAAGAAACTTTGGGAAGGGTCACCATAACTCTGAATCAACTTGATGACACACAATTACTATTACAGTACTTGCATATTGTAAGAACACATATTTCCCTCTCAAGGCAGCTGACCTTCCCTCTCTCCCTGCTCCCCCATTTTATCCAGAAGTCAATTAGGGTGAGAGGGACACTGCCCCAAGATTACTGAGTGAATTTTGAAACTGACTAAAGATTTGAACTTGGATCTGTCTTTACATCTACTCTAACACTAACCACCATGTTATACAGTGGCTATGAGTGAATTTCATAATATAGGCTTTGCGAACTGCTACTCAGTGGTTTTGCTGTGGTTTCTGACATCTTCTGCTGAAATATTCCTATACATCTTCAATGTACCAACTCTTTCATGTGCCTGAAATTCCCCTGCAGTTATAGTAAGTATTCTTTATTTGAGCCAAGATAGAGTAGCACTGACATCAGATCTTGCAAATGGTTTACTTGCACTGACTGAGAATATTGCTCCTTTTAATCAGCATATTAATGGGATTCAGGGGTTACCCTGAAAACAAAGTCTAAATGATTAAAAAAAAATTAAAATGAATACATTTTAAAATTAAACTAAATTAACTAATAATTCTGCTGAAGAACATATGTTAATATTTCATTAGACTACAGATCAAACCATAGCCATCTACAATGTAGTAATTAAGTTCTTAATATGGAAATATCACCAGCAGAAAACCTTGACAAAAGTTTGTGTTTTCTTTACATTTAGTGAATTTTTTCTCTACTTTGCAGGAATTCTGCCAGGGATGGATTAATCAGAATACCAAGAAAGCCAAGTTTATGAAGAAAATATATGCCTACACTTTAGAACAAATAAAGCTGTCCCAGAAAAAGTCAGGGAAGAAAGAAGATGAATTTGGCTTTGTTTCTTGTGATTCCTATGCTGTGGCTGCTGCCATTGATGAAAAGTTTATCACGGAAGTCATTGAAATTGGTGTCACTGTTGAGCTCAGTGGCTCACTAACCAAAGGAATGATGGTTTTAGATTGGGAAGACAAACTCAAAAAGAAAAACAAAGCTTTTGTAATTAAAAAATGTGACTTAGGGAAGCTCCAGGCACTGATGATGGCAGCTCTAATATAAACCTTTGCTTACTGAGGCTGCTCAGTCTTTAGCTACTGCAATGCAAGTGGAGGTTTGTATTGGAATAGGTGAAACAGTGTCTGGAATCTGGTTACTGATGTCACTCCCGTGCGCAATGGGAATGACATCAGCAGTAGCAACAGCAAATCACTGCTGAACTGATTAAATGCTTCCTTTGGTGATTTTGAGATGCCCGCAGTTCATACACAATGCAACAAAGTCATATGCACACTGAAAACGACAAAGGAAGCCTTTCGTCAGTGGTGATTTGCTGAGGCTGCTGATGTCATTCCCAACTGTGTACATGGAGCTGGGCGAGAAAATTTCAGCCAGAATCTTCTTGTCATTTCTGCTGTGCAGTTAGCATTAATTCTCTCATAAATAAAATCTGCAAAAACAAATGATCTAGACTGATTATTGAGAGGGGATATTTCTTTTGTAGGGAGTTGGTTAAGAAATCTGAAAGCATGTGTTATTTAATAGACTGAAAATTGTTTAGCTGACTGGGCAAATTCTGATGACAAACTCAGGAAGTACAGAAATGTCGTGTTCATGTTCTGAGATGATGCTGAAGTTGCTTCTTTATTCCCAGTTCCTTGCTGTAAACAAATCTGAATCTTTGAGATGAATAAGGTGCTGGAATTTATATGCTCTTATGCATAAAACTGTGCATTTCCATGATGGGTAAACTCACTCTTTCAAGATTAAAACGAAATTCTTACCAATCAAAATATTAATAGTTGCACAATGCACCATAATTTGTGATGATCCTAGATGACAATCACAAACCAAAGCTAAAGATTTGTTCTGTAGTCACTCTCTAGATAGCCCAGCATCCTGTTAATAGTCTCAAGTGACTCCATAGGATTTGCACACACATTGGTTTAACGTTCAGCAATTGTTCTAATGCAGCAGTTCCCAATCTCAGGTAGCCCAGGTATTTTTGGACTGCAACTCCCAGAAATCCCAGCTAACACAGCTGGTAGCGAAAGCTGCTGGATATTGCAGCACAAGAAAACCTGGGTTACCCAAGGTTGGAAACCACTGTTCTAATGGATCCATTCTTGGTTGGAACCTGGAATAGAATACTGACCCTAATGTTGGCCTAACCCAATGGTTTTCAAATGCTGTTGTTCTCTTTCCTTGGAGAATACCTGAAGCATCCTGTTATATTTCAGAAAAGGGAGGAACAGAAACCTGAGGTGGGTGGTTCCTTTCCCTTCCAGCTAAAATATGGGTAGATTAACACCTCATTAATCTACACTGGATTTGTAGGAGAGCGAGGGTACTCTCATTGGTGGGTGGTTCCTTTCCCTTCCAGCTAAAACATGGGTAGATTAACACCTCATTAATCTACACTGGATTTGTAGGAGAGCGAGCCATCATCTCATTCCTGTTGTGAAGAATGACCCCAACAGAACTAATGCTTTGATCTGAATTTCTTCTATGAACGGCTTTAGGACAGAGTGATTCCATGCTTCTGTTCCTTTTCAAATGCTGCTGTTGAAATTAGTATCTCAACCTGCAGCACTGCAGCTAGTGTCTTTTCATATTTAACTCTAAAACAAATTATTGCTACCAACTAAGGAAGTGGTAGCAGCAGTGATAGCCAAAATATTTGAGAAACACAGGCCTAACTTGTTCAGCACTGATCTAACTTAACATCTCATAGTCCCATATGCACTGGTGTAAGATTTTGTGTAACAGTCGTCAGATATGCAAGATGTAATGCAAATATAATTTACACTCAAAATACGTTGTAGGGCTATAGTGAGGACGGGCTGGCAACTGAGACCCTTCAAATCTTTTTCCAGCTACACTTTTCATCTGCCCTAGCTGGTACAGCCAACGGTGAATTATTATAGCATCTAAAAGATGTCTGGAGGGCCACGGTTGCACAAACCTAAACAATAGGGCACAAAGGGAATCACAGTATGCCAGCAAAATCAAATTATATATCTATATGCAAATCTTTATGCTTGCCGCAATGACAGCTGTGGTTGAAACGACTGGAAAACACTGTGAAATGAGGACAAGTATGTTAATGGTTCATGCATAAGAAAGGGTTATATGGTTGTTCATGGTCCATATTAGGAACAGCTAGCAAGTAACAGCTGGCTGCAAAGATGCATGAGAAATCTGCTGAAATTCTCACCTTGTTGGCTGATCACATTCCAGAGATAAGATCATATTTCCAATTAGTAGCTAAGAAATTACCATTACCTCCAACCAGCTAAAGAATTGTCTTATCTGCCTAGTTTATCTATTGTGGAAGAGATAGAGAAGAAAGCATACTAAATCCACAGCCTTGCAGTTCCCCTTTGGCTTTCTCCTTAGGGCTAGGTGCACATTGGTGTCTGAAGACATCTGGCACTTTTGTCACAGCACTGGAAGGTCCTGTGATAGAGATGAAAGTCGTTATAAGCTTCCTTTTGCTGTATTTGTTGCATCCTGTAGCTATCACTACATTTAATATAGCATATAACTGATGGGATACCCTGTCACCTGTGCAGCCTTGGGCAAGCTGCATGGCCTCAGGGCACCATCAGAAGGAGGGACTGGTGAACCACTTCTGAGTTCTTTATACCTAGAAAACCCTAGAAGGGCTGCCTCAGTTTAGAACTGACTTAATGTCATGTTGTCGTCATCATAGTCTTCCACAAAAGTAGTTTGATTTCTTCTCAATTGCACTTAAGCCTTGAGAAGAAATCAAATTAACTCTGAAAAGGATTGCCATAATTCAGAATTCACTTGAGAGAACATCATCATCATCATCTTAGAACTGCAGAGCTGGAAGGGACCCTATGGCTCATCAAGTCCAGCCTATGTCAAAGAAGCACAGTGGAGAATTGAACTCCCAACCTCTGGCTCCACAGCAAGAGACCTGAGCCACTGAACTATCCAGTAGTAATCATCATCATCCTTAAATCTTGATGATGAGGCCCTCAGTAGGTCTGGGGTTGTCACATTGATCACCATCCTTAAATCTTGATGATGAGGCCCCGAGTAGACCGACTTTAGGTTAAAACAGGAAAATTCCTCCCATGCAACTTGAGATAGTGTAAAATCCTGCACCAAAACCCCTCCCCACCCAGCCTATGTTGCCATGACCCATTTAGAATACAGACTGTGTGCCAGTTATAGCACATAAATAACTGCATATACTCTGTCAATAAGAAGATGCTAAGGTGTGCAGTTTGGAGTGTATCACTTTTATGTCATGAACACATAAAAGCGTAGATAGGAGAATTGTGGTTGGAGAAAACAATGAGAAATAGCACTTTGGAGAAGGGCATGCTAGAAATCAATGCTTCAGTAGACTAATTTTCCAGAGCCATGACCCAAATCTATTGCAAGCATTTGACCTAAGGCCCAGGGCTTACTTCTCTTGAGGAGAACCATACTCTTCATGAGCCTCTTACATCCAGAGCCCTTGTATCCGCTACCTCTACCTTAGAAGCGCAGCCTGTAGTATTATACTGTAGGCAGGTTTTAACTAATCAAAATTAATCAGTTTTGAAAATGGAATAAGATGGAGATGCATACCAAATTTCAGATGTTTAGGCTTCAGACTCTTGGAGCTACAGCAAAGACAGAAATGGGTGGACATTCCATTCCTACACACTAAGAAAGCTTCTTGGGGAGATGTTGTACATCACCTTGTAAAGATGAACAGCATGTCTTGGTGGCTTCTTTAGTAACCTTTTCTGGATAATATTTTTGGTCATGTTTCCATAAGTCACAAGAGGTAGGGGAGGGGGAAAACATGTTGCCTACCAAATTGAGATGGTGATATTTAAATGCTTTGCTGGCATATGTTTTAGGATTAAATTTACGGATTCTCAAAGCATAAACCAATTTGCTCTAGGAGAGTATAGAAAATTATCTTTTTGAGAGAAGATGAGGCAAAAAGCCAAGTGTCTTTCTCAACTTCACTGTTTCCAAGCAGTGAAACTTTGGCAGCTATGAGAGGTATTCCCTTTATACTAATGAGCTTTGGCTAATGGGTCTGACAAGGGCATTTCACTGAATGAGAGAAGTCAGAAGATCCAGTCAAAGATCTCTGTTCTACACTTTGTCTCAATAAGGGTAAACATTAACCTATGTGTAACTCATATAAAATACATTTGTTCAGGTCAAATTCCACTGAAAGGCAGCAAAGGGCAGGTCTTAAGAATCATTCAACACATCAGATAACAAACAAATGTAAATTCTGAATCAGGCAGAAGTCAGAAAATTCTGAGGTGGGGTGCACTGAAGAGATCATACTGCCTTTTAGTGTAGTGTTTGCTGCACTGTGCAGCATGTATTTGTGAAGTTTTGATGTCTACTGTGGTATCTCCAAATATAAAACTTGCAGCTGAAAGTTGCCACTGTCAGCTGACTTTTTGATACTCCTTTCCTGATTTGCAGGTGGCAGCAAAGTGCATGATATAGCTCAGTCCTTAGCCCCAGGTAGGGACTTCTCTACCCAAAGATAATTTTGCAGGCTCATAGGCTGCATTGAGATTGTATTATTCCGTGAGGGCAGGAATATGGAATTATTGCTTTGGAGGGTCAGAGTCTAGATCAGAGGTGAGCAATTAATTTATATTGGGAGCCACATGAAAAATCTGAACTGTGAATGAAACAGTGATGTTATGATTGTTTTTATTTTAAACTTGTTAATCTTCACAAATACTAAAGAGGTTTTTTGTGGTATGTTAAAGATAAGCAACTGATCAACTTTAGACAAAAGGCTATAAATGGTTTTGATGTTCAACTTGTTCAGTGAGAGAAATCCAGTCTGTCTTGGACTCAAACAAGTGCTTGAACACCGGACTGGCGCGATGACCAGCAGGCTGGACAGGAGCGGCTCATGGGCCATATGTGGCCCTCAGGCCGCACTTTGCCCAGGTCTGGTCTAGATGAAAAATGAATAGACATAAGTAGGAGAGAAAACAAAGCTTTGTGAAGTATGAAATTTGTAGTTTGATAGTGGCTTGGAAAATATAGTAGATCATTAAAAAGCTATAAATCAGGCAACCTTTTGAGTGATACACAATTCTTCACCAGGCTTCCAAAAATGCAAAATTAAATAACAGAATTTTAGAGCTGTCAAAAGTATCAATTTATACGCTATCCATCTCACTGGGAAGACAAAAGCTTGGCTCCACTTACACACCCAGAGATTTGCCAGTTGCCTTGGATGAGGCCACAGATCTGCAGTAGGCTTGCAATAGAAAAACACGGGAGTTGGTTTCTGTGTTCGTATCAGCAGAACAAGAGGATTGATTTAGGTATCATTGTACATTTAAAAAACCATTTAGATAATCTTCACTGGAATAGAGTTTTATGTGAAAGCCTCTTCCCATGATAGCAAAATTTCTCTTTCTGGTGGCCGCAGTAGCATTTTGTTTGCAAAAACAAAAGGTAGCTGTACAATCAGTTCAAAGAAAAAAAGCAATGGATTGGTCAACACTTTCATTGCATCACAAAAAAGTTACAAATAAGATGAGTTTTCCACAGAACTTTTTACAAGGCAAAGATGGCAAAAAATAAATAAATGTGTGGTTCAATTAGGTAGTCCAAAAGTATACTGGCTTGTGACATCAGGTCGCCAGGAAAACAAAGTTGATTTTTGGAATCTGCATAAAACAGTTGATGGGTTCTCCATCTCTCAGCACACTAAATTCTGGCTTTTCATATAATCTATTCCTAATGTTCTGTTATTTACTGTACACATTTTGCAGCAGTACCCATAATGTTCAAATGACATGTCCAGTATGGGACCCTACTGACCACTTCCAAGCCGATATTGACCTACAACTCCCAGTTCGAATGGTGCCACAAAACACAGTTTGAGCGGGGGGGGGGGAAGCAGCATAACGACTGCAATACGTGAGAGCATGTGTTTTGAAAACGACCTCAGACTTCAGGTTTCATGGAAAACATCGACCTCTCTAAACAGACCATGGGTCCAAGGAGGGCCATGAGGCACTTAAACCTCACATCCTGAAATGCTGGCTTTAGGACCCTCTTATACAGGATATTTTTTCTCCTGGGGGAATTATAAACAGCACTGCCCACAGCCACTTCGCTGGGCCACACAAAATTGCTCATCGTTTCGCCCCTGCCAATCTCCAAAGCCCAGAAAACCGTCCCACCATGCAAGCCCACCCTCTCTGTGAATGCAGCCAGCAATAAACTGCGCTGTTCTCCCGCTGCAAGAAAAGTTCACGCCAGTGGAATATCGAAGCCTCAGGAGTGGGAGGGTTTACTGAGGAACCGTCAGCCGTGATTGGCCGTTTGGCCTTTTAGAGTGACGGGAAGAAGGGGCTTGCGCCGCACTTTCAGCGAGAAACCGCGACTTTTGCGTCAGCAGGTAAGAGGCTGTTAGCGGGAGCTCGCGCCGCCTATTATGAAACGGGGGGGTGAGCAGGTGCTCCCCTCTAGCCCCGCCCACCGTCTGCGATAAAGTCGGAAGGCAAACGCGCCCCCTGTGTTGCGTCCGCTCTGGGCAGCCGCGCTTGTCTGCTCGCCTGCTCTCTTGCTTTGTCTGGCGGACTGGCGAAATGTACATTTGTTCTTCAAGGATTCTGTTTGAAAGGGCGCCGAAACTTTCCGAGTCTATCCGGGTCCACAGCAGGCAGCGTGGGTAGAAAAGCGGTTGTGATAATCTGCACAAATGAGAACAGTGTTAATACCCTGAGCTCGACTAAGGGCGTTTGAAAGCTTGTTCGTGGCACCAACGGAAGACAAAAGTTGGCTCAAGCTGATGCAATACACAGCATAAAGAGCCTCCCGCCTCGGGGTGCGTAGATTGAACGAATCATGTTGTCGCCCGAGGCACCCATCATAATGAATTAATAAAGTGCCTTCCAGCTCTGCAGTTCTAAGATTATTTTCATTATAATAAGTAAGTTGCAGCAGAGTTCAGAGTCAGTTGTGCAATTCTGCTTTTTCAAGTTAAGGTGTAGTGTAATACATGTGACAAACAGGAAATGTGGTACAGTATAGCTGTTCTTTTCCATTTGTCTGTAACTACTTCACTACACTTGTTGGTTCCGAAAACGTAAAATAAACCGAAAGCAGGAAGCAGAATAAGAGCAACAATGCAATAGGGAATTTACCTTAATGGCCACTGATGCATATAGTAACTTAACATTTGTAGTTCCATTTCCTTTCAAAACAAGATAGAGTCAGGAAGATGAGGCAAAAAAGTGCACTTGCTGAATTTCTTTGTAATCATGCAGATTTGATCATAATTTCTGCTAATCGTAGATACTGGGATCTTTTTGGGACTTATCAGGAAAATAATAAGGCCTTTTCAGGAGAAAGGCGGGGCAAAATATTTTATATGAATGGATGAATGAATAAAGCAATCCTATAAAAGTGCAATCCTATGCATTTGTGGTTTAGAAATAATCTATTGAGTTAAATGGGCTTCACCTCAGGTAACTGTACAGAATTGTAACTTAAAAGTACATCATGGTGGTGATGGTTGTTTTCTGCCTTAAAGTTGCCTCCAATTTGTGGTGATTCTACGAGTGTTGTTGTTGTTGCTGTTTAGTAGTTAAGTTGTGTCCGACTCTTCGTGACCCCATGGACCAGAGCACACCAGGCCCTCCTGTCTTCCACTGCCTCCTGTTAGGTCAATTGTCATACTCCTTTCCCAATTTTGAACCAATCAGTTGTTCCATATCCAGTTCTAACTCTTGCTTCCTGTCCCACATATAGATTTCTCAGGAGATAGATAAGGTGGTCAGGCATTCCCATTTGTCCACACAGTCAAAGGCTTTTGTGTGGTCAATGAAACAGAAGTACAGTACAGTGGTACCTCGCTTGACGATGACCCCACTGTACGATGAATCCGCAGGATGGTGACTTTTTTGCGATCGCTGTAGCAATCGCAAAACAATGTTTCCTATGGGGAATTTTCGCTTGACATCGATTAGGTCTGTGATTGCGAACCGTTTGTTCATAAGACGACGATGTTTTTTATGCACCTTCATGTAAATGAATGTGTATGAACAGGGAAGCAAATTTTTACATTTCACAGCCTGCAAGCTTCTCCACGGACATAAAGTGTTTTCCCAGTAAGTTCCATTGAACCTTTCTGCAGTATAAACTTAATTTTATACTGTTAAAATAAACAATTTTGAATGATTGTTTATTGTTGTAAATTGTTGTTATATTTTAATTGTTTTTATTCCACTTGTGAGCCACCCAGAGTAGTCAAAGACTAGATGGGCGGGATATAAGTATAATAAATAAATAAATAAAAATAAAAATTCTGCATATACGTTAAATAAGTGGGAGACAATATACAGCCTTGTCATACTCCTTTCCCAATTTTGAACCAATCAGTTGTTCCATATCCAGTTCTAACTCTTGCTTCCTGTCCCACATATAGATTTCTCAGGAGATAGATAAGGTGGTCAGACACTCCCATTTCTTTAAGAACTTGCTATAGTCCACACAGTCAAAGGCTTTTGCATGGTCAATGAAACAGAAGTACTGCTTGACAATGACCCCGTTGTATGACGAATCCGCAGGCCGGTGACTTTTTTGCGGTTGCTGTAGCGATCGCAAAACAATGTTTCCTATGGGGAATTTTCGCTTGACGTCGATTAGGTCCGTGATCACGAACCGTTTGTTCGTAAGACGACGATGTTTTCTGGCTCTGCAAAATGGCTGCCCTGTGTTTTCCGGACCCATGCTTTGCAGGGCAGCCATTTTAACAGCTGATCGGTGCTCGGAAAATAGCTTCCCCTATGGGCGATCTTCGCTGGACGATGAGGTAATTTCCCCATTGGAATGCATTAAATGGGTTTCAATGTATTCCAGTGGGGAAACTGTTTTCGCTGGACGATGTTTTCTCTTAACAGTGATTTCAGGGGAACGGATTATCAACATGGTGTGGGGCACCACTGTAGATGTTTTTCTGGAAGTCTGGCTTTTTCCATAATCCAGCGCATGTTAGCAATTTGGTCTCTAGTTCCTCTGCCCCTTCGGAATCCAGCTTGTACTTCTGGGAGTTCTCTGTCCACATACTGCTGAAGCCTACCTTGTAGGATTTTGAGCATAACCTTGCTAGCGTGTGAAATGAGTGCAATTGTACGGTAGTTGGAGCATTCGTTGGCACTGCCTTTCTTTGGGATTGGGATGTAGACTGATCTTTTCCAAACCTCTGGCCACTGCTGAGTGAGATATCTCCAAAGTGTCCTGTCCTTAATATCTCTTCCATGGTCAACAACACTGTGTCTTCTTTTAGTGAGTCAATCCATCTCATATTTTGTCTTCCAAAGCTTGATTTGACTTAGGACCCATTTGTTTGTCTTCTGGTGATCCAGGGTGTCCGCAAAGCTTTCCTCCAGCACTAAATTTCACATGAATCAATTTTTTTCCTGTCAGCATTCTTTTCAGCTTTCGCAAACATACATAGTGATCAGAAATACAATAGTGTGGATGATCTTGGTCTTGGTCTCCAGTGACACATCCTTACAGCTCGATAATCTTTTCTAGTCCATTGCTGCCTTTCTGAGTCTCACTCTTCTGATTTCTTGGCTGCAGTCTCCATTGGGATTAATGATTGAACCAAGGCACACAAAAATCTCCTTTTTTTATTTCTTCATTGTCATCATTAAAGTTGTGTAGTTCTTCTGTAGTCAGGACCTTTGTCTTCTGATTGTTCAGCTGCAGTCCTGCTTAGATGGTGAGTTGAAATTTATGTTGGAGACGGGGATGAGCACCGCGCCCTAGAGTCAGACACGACTGGACTAAATGTCAAGGGGAACCTTTACCTTTACCAGACAGCCATTACATGGTAAGAGTCATGTTGACTACCTCCTGTGTTCAGCCTGTTGAAAAGAGGATTTGCATTGGTCGTGTTCCTTCTGCAACTCTGGGCTGATGATAGAGAGAGAAGAGGAAAGAGATAGGAGGATAGTTTGTGGCCCTTCCAGCTTAGTTGAATTGGGAGTCTTCCAGCCAAGGTGCTGTCCTATTTCACAAATGAAATTCTACTACCATAGCTCCTTGTATCTCTCTAGGTCATATCTCCTACAAAGGTTGTTTATTTAAATGATTAAATGTTATTTCCTCATAGGTTTTTCTGAAATGAAGCAACATCTGCTGCTTGATGTTGATTGTGGTGTTGATGATGCTACAGCTATCATGATGGCTCTAGCCTCTCCTAGTGTTGAAGTCCTGGGAATTACCTGCTGTTATGGAAACTCTCTCTTGGAAAATACATGTAGAAACGTACTCCGTGTGTTGCATGTTTGTAACAAGCTTGAGGTAAATTGCTTCTTCCTGCTGAATATTTCAAAAACATTATGTACATCGGTACATTGTGAGGATTACAAATGACAAACTAACTTCTTAATCTGTGTATTTGCATGTAAAGCCCATTTTACTTATAATCGCAGAGTGCTTGCCTCTACTTTGCACCAAAAGTGTTGCTATATTTAATTAACGATTAGCTGCTGTCTGCTGTAATATCTGTGGGACTATTATAATCACACCCACAGCTTCTTGGATGTTGTTAAGCTAATGCATATTTCTTTGCAGTGGAATGTTTTATTAAGTAATTCATTTCAGGATTTTATTTAGAGTGAGATCCTTAATCTCATTTGGTTCATTTCCATTGAATTAATGGAATACTTAAGATTTTAAAATGTGTTTGGGATCATAATAAATTAACTAAACATGCATTGTATGAACGTATGTTTTTTTTGAAGACAAAAGGCTAAGCACACTTCTGGGCATGGTTTGAATAGAAAAACCTGGTTCTTCATAAAGAAGTCTGCGTTTCAGAATACCTTGTCTCTGTCTATTTCTATTTTTAAAGGTCCTAATCAGCACTTAGAATGGGCAGTTTCATGTCATACTTAGGTTAGCGTGCCAGTTTTGATCCTCTAAACTAGTGGTTCCCAACCTTGGGTTCCCAGGCATTCTTGGACTAACACTGCCAGAAATCCTGGCCAGCACAGCTAGTGGTGACGGCTTTTGAGAGTTTTTATCCAAGAACATACGGGGACCCAAGGTTGGGAACCACTGCTCCGAACAGTTTAAGTTTGATACCTGCACATCATACAGATCCTTCTCACACAACCTGCAAGTGAATTTATAAACCCTGTCAAGTGACGTCTTCAGTACTGGATGAATGATAGTTTAATCACAGTTGGGCTTAAGTGTCACAGCAGCAGATTTATTAGTTGACAAGCATACTTGGGGCAAACTGTACATTACAGACAGCTCTCCATTAGAAGGGAAAATTCTACAAGTCCTAAGAATGCCCGATTGCCACAGCAAGTGTTTTTTGCATTTTCTATAGTTTGCAAATTAGCTTGTTTCACATTTGGTCATCTGGAGACAAGCATACGTTTCTATTTGCAAGTATGATTGCTCAACCTTCAAAATGTTTCCACTTCCTTTGAACACTGACATTGTTCTCCTAATTATCTGTACTGTATAATTTCACCTTCGTACAGTCACAAAATCTATGTGATATCGCTGTTTAGTTATTTATTCAAAATCAGTGATTGTTCTTTAAGCTTATATGGTATTGGCATCATGTCTTCTATAGATTCCAGTTTATCCTGGTTCTTCTGCCCCAGTACTTGGTGGACCTGTGCTGGGGGCATTCTATCATGGGGCAGATGGATTGGGAGATGTTCCAGATCCCAGTGCTCCAGGATTAGACCTTCTCCAAAAAGAACATGCAGTGCTTGCAATAATAAGAATAATCAACGAGCAACCAGGTCAGGTGAGATGACACATATGTCTTAAGTCTGTAAGAGGTGCCCAGTATAATAAGTTAATATCCCCCGCTTTCCAAAACTGTATGCTAACAACCTTTTCCTACAACACATAAAGTTGTTTCCTAGAGAATTTTACTAGCCAGGATTGGCATGGATCTAAATGAATGCACAAACATTTCTACATTTTTTGTCAACATCAAAGGGCAAACACTGAAGCCAAGTCACCTCTGTCTTAAAGGCTGACTTGACCCATTCCATTTTCCATCCAGCAAAATCTACAGTGTATTTACATAGTTCAGAGGTGCATGAACCTCTGCCACTTTCAAGTAAGTTTCTAACACAAGGTGCTAAACATAACCATTTTGAGTAACATTAACTGTGTTGCTCTACTACTACCATAAAGGGAAATAAAAGACAGTTCTGTTATTGTGGCAGCTGTCTATGAATAGGCTACAATTCTAGAAGCTGTAGTCCTCAGGAGTATTTTCTGTAAGTTCTGTATAGTTAACCACAGGAGAAAACAAGCAGATCATATGCAAGACAAAAAAAATACTACTATTGAAAACAGACTAGGTTGCATTGTTGAGACAGCCTTCATACCCATAATATCATTTCAAAAATCACCTTTATTTTTGAAGTCAGGGGGACCAAGCAATGAAACAGTTTTGTTTTCGGTATCATTTGAGCGAGGCACATCTCTGCTTCTTGTTGATGGCACTACTATGTTGATGGACAGCATTGCCCAGTCTTTTGCCTTTCCTTGGGAATAATAATGGGATGTGAAGAACTGGAGCCTAGCTCACTTGAGGAGGTTTCGTACAAGGAAAATTAGCTATAAATATTTGGAATATGTTACCTCTGGAAATTACTGTGCTTGTAGGTTTCTCTCGTTGCTACTGGTCCCTTGACAAATTTAGCACTGGCCGTGAAAATGGATCCAACACTTCCCGAGAAACTTAAAAATGTCATCATCATGGGAGGAAACATGGAAGGTGAGTGATCTGAAAAGGGCTTGCTGGGCACATGTCCTGTCATTTGGCCCTCAACCAATATCTCTCCAAAATGGCTTCTGTCTTCATATACAGTGAAATTCTGTAGGCACGGGCATGATGGTCACACATAGCAGTGTGTGTGAAGTGCCTGTGTTCCCTGTATAGGCAATGCGTTATTTGCAAAGTGTCCCTCAAAAATGAACAATAGTTTTGTTTTTGTTAGCCGTAGGAAATACGAGTGTCTGTGGAGAGTTCAATTTTGTAACTGATCCAGAAGCGGCTTACGTTGTCTTAAACGAGTACACCTGCCCAATTTATATTGCAACATGGGAGTTCACGCTTTCCTGCGCACTCTCTTGGGTAAGATACCGTTTGTAATCCTATAGTCTGCTATCTGCAAGTTACCCCCCATTGAAGTCAGAAGGATTTAGCTAGACATAGTGGATTATACTGTGAATATCTGGTATTTAACCATTGCTTTTCTGTCCCGGTTGTCATTCAATGAAGTCAGGACTATGCAACCTTGCTCTGCTTTCCCCCACTTTATCCTGGCAGCAAATCTGTAAGGTAGGTCAGGCAGAGAATGGCCCAAGGTTAACCAGAGATACAGTTTGGTATCTCAACAACTGCCCAAGCAACCACTAGATACAAAGTACAGAAATACAGTACAGTGGTGCCTCACTTAGTGATGTTAATCCGTGCAGAAAAAATCACTACTAAGCAATAACATTGCTAAACGAAAATAAAAAGCCCATAGAAACGCATTAAAATGCGATTAACATGTTCCTATGGGTTAAAAACTCACCTTTAAGCGAAGATCCTCCATAGGGGCGGCCATTTTCGGTGCCTTTTAAGCGAGGAAACACAGCGGGCGGCCATTTTGTTTACCCGGTGGCCATTTTGAAACCAGCGATCAGCTGGCCGAAAATGAAGGCTTTCCGATGATCGCTTCCCTGCGATCATCGCAAAGCGAAATTTCCCATAGGGACCATCACAAAGCAATCGATTTTGCGATGGCAAAAAGTCCATTGCAAAGCGATTTCATCACTATACGGAGCGATCACTATGCGAGGCACCACTGTATTTGTATTAAAAACTGCCATAATCCCTGAGGAACTAGAAATCAGTCTGTTTTGGTTTCAGAGGTGCAAGAGCCAGCGTCTGGCAGCTGCACAGTAAGTTGGTGAAACATGCTTTCCTCAGTCCACACAGCAATGCTGGTTGAAAAGGAAAGACTTTTTCAGAATGTTCCAAAAGAATACACGTGAGATTCAAAGCTGATTAAGAGAGTCAGCAGAAGGCAAGCTTCAGCTAGGGCACATAGAGAGCACAGGAATCAGAAATAGCCTCTGTGCCGTGATGGGGCTGTTCTATGCGGTGATCTTTTAAAATCTGTTTAAGAACTCTAAATGCACGATGTGGTCACCAATCAGTGATCTGTTCCACAAAGCAAAATCCGGTGTGTACAGAGACATAGTGGAAAGAAAAGAGGAAATGTATCGTAAAATCAAAGGTGGAGCTACTGCTTATTGGGTTGCATGACTTTGATTGTAATGAAAACTATCCATCATGTATACTTACTTATTTTATAATGTACTATATAGTGTTGTATTTGTAGTGTTATATATGTGTGTACACCCTCATATTGGTTTTGGAGCTTCCCTAAATCCAATACATAATTCATGGATGTTTAAAATATTGCCGTTCTATGTCTGCTTCCTCATTAATTCAGCTGTGCCTGTGGGTTGCCTGGCCACACCCCTTTAGTGCACTTGGGACTACATGCATACTCTAACTACGATGTTGCAGATGCTTTTACTGGCATTTCATAATACAGGTTTTCAAATTGTTGCTACTTGATTTTATTTGTTTGCATTTCAAAACCTGAGCATGCTTTATCCTATCTCATCTAGGAAGGTGTTTTGATATTGGCAGGTGTTATATATCTTCATTAGACAATGTGCAGTATCACCAGTTTGATACACCCCAAATTTCCCAAAGTATTACAGGGTATTTTCTTAATTTAAGCCAATTTGGAACAGGACTGACCAATTTTGTCCAAACTTTACTTCTGTTGACTGCAAATGTTTTTTTTTTAACAATATATGTCCCCTGGAAATTTAGAGCTCTGCATGTATTTAGGCTACAATTCCCAGAATTCCTCAGGCTGCTACTATATTGTAATAATATAGTACAGTGGTGCCCCGCATAGCGAGGTTAATCCGTTCCGGATTAACCTTCGCTATGCGGAATCGTCGCTAAACGGGTAGGGAAAATGTATTGAAACGCATTAAACTTAGTTTAATGCGTTCCAATACCTTTCTTACTTACCCGTTCAGCGAGGATTCCAATTTCCGGCAGCCATTTTCGGACAGAGAGCACATAGAGAGAAATACACTTTTTAAAGTTGGTCTTGTCCTGGGATACTCAGCGTGGTGTGGTGGACATAGTGACAGACTAGGGCTCTGGACCAAAATGGCCGCCGCAATACCCGATCTTCGCAATGCGGGTTTTCCCCATTGCGAAGATCAGGTATGTTTCCGTATAGCGATCCCGAAAAAGGGATCGCTATAAGGAAACATCGCTATACGGTGCACTCGTTAAGCGAGGCACCACTGTATTATACTGTATTATAGAAACTGCCAGCCTGTGTGGCCTTGGGCAAGTGACACAGTTCAGAGTGCCCTCAGAAGAAGAGAATGGTAAACTACATCTGAATACCTTATGCCTAGAAAACCTGGCAATGATGCCATAACTCAGAATTGACTTTGCAGCGGACAGTCATTATCAATTAAGGCTAGTATCCTCTTAACAAGTAAGAAGTGGAAGAACTGTGTAAGTTTTCTCTGTGCTCTTGCAGGTTCCTGTTGTATGCCTGAGATCAGTCACATGACTGGTCACATGATGGGGACCCTGCCAGGGAAGAATCTTTACATGATCGTCCTTCTGCTCTGTGTCTGTTGATGAAGTTACTGGTTCAGGTTCTTCAGCTGTAAATATTGTGGGAAATTGTGGCAATTAGTTACTCATGTTTTCTTTAACTGCAGTACATTGAATGAGATGTACGCTACACAAAGAAACCTAACATCACCAGGGCAATCCCCCCCCCCGTAATTAAAGACAATAAGTAGTGTATTCACAGTTGAATATGCCTAAAACCGAAGGGCAAGAATACTGGAGCAAAGCCCACTTTATACTTATTCTGGACCTTGCACATAATGATGAGGTCAAATGGTTTTCCTTATTAATGGCCCGAACCATTCTTTACTTTGCAGGAATTCTACGATGAATGGATTAATTTGAATTCCGAGAAAGCCAAGTTTATGAAGAAAATACATGCTCATTCTTTGAGAATCACAAAGTCTTCCCAGGAACATTCAGGCAAGAAAGAATCAGGCTTTGTTTCTTGTGACTCCTACGCCATGGCTGCTGCCATTGATGAGACTTTTGTCACTGAAGCCATAGAAACTGGTGTCAGCGTTGAGCTCCGTGGCTCACTGACCAGAGGAATGATGGTCGTGGACTGGAATGACGAACTGAAAAAGAAGAGCAAAGCCTTTGTAATGAAAAAATGTGATTTAGGAATGCTGCAGGCACTGATGATGGCCGCTTTAAAATAAAGATGCTAATCGTGGAGATCTTCCCTGAACTATACATCTACTACAGATGATCTGACCTTTAGCTGCTGCTGTGCAAACTATGGTTTGTAATGCAACAGCTACAGCAGCATCCTGTGCCGTGGAAGCAATGCTGTTTTCATAAGCATTGCCACTCGCACCATATACTTCATATTAAATCTCTCAAATCTGTAGCAATAAGCACATATTAAATCTTAAATTCATATTAAATCTTTCAAATCTGTGGTAATAAGCATCTGTGAATGCATCTGGGCGCACTAAAGAAAAGGAACCCCTTATGTGGGAAAGGGTCTTGATAGCTGCCTAAGGAACTTTAAATTATGTCATCTAATAGGGTGAAATAATTGCTCTGCTTGTCGGTATTAATGTACCTATATTGAATCAGAATTTCCATGGGGGAAACTCGGGCAGAATAATCAGGAAGTATTGAAATCTGGTGCATCTCTGTTGAGAAGAATTAGCATACTTTCCCCCACCCTCATACAGTAGTTGATTCAGGTATCTATTAGATCCAATAATATTTTCATCAGCTGAAAGAAAAATACAGCTTAACTACTATAAGCTGGTCTCTGATACCATTACAGCGGTATTTAGTTACAGAAAACAGATGCTGTAAGTCTCTTCAAAAATGACATTAATATGCAGTGTCAACACTGAGTTTATCACAGGAATAGAAGGAAGGCAGTTCTCTGTACCAAATCTGTTAACCACTGGAATTCTTTTCTTTAATTATTGGCTAACTAAAGCATGTATATTTCAGAACATAACTCAGATAGTCAGTCACGTTAAAGCAAGTACTGTATGGACCAGGATCCTATTTCTCACACTTGCTGATGTATGTCCATTGGGGTAAATCTCAGCATCATATTGCCCCTAGTTAAGAAATCACTGTCTGTTGGGCCTTTTTTTTTTACATAAACCAGTTGCGTGACAAGCAACACAAGTCTTGACTACAGGCAATTCGTGGCTGAGCTTTATGCCATTTAACTTATTTATTAACTTTTTGTACTGCCCGATTAGTGAAGGACTCAACTCTGGGTGGTGTACATAATAAAGCAACAAAAAACCCATCCTCCCCACCCTCCTGTTACTGTTATAATCAACAGTAACATTAAAAATAACCATAACAATTAAAAAATATATGGCAACAATCAGAAAATCAATACAACTAAAGTGCAAAGTGTTACATGAGTACTAAATCCCTATGTATGGGATTACGATCTTAAAAGTCATTTTGAAGAGCTCTGTCTACTAGGTTTCTGAAAACTTGGGAGACTGGAGCTTGGTGTACCTCCAGTGGAAGTTTATTTCAGAGGGATAGGGCTACTACTGAGAAGGCCATGGTCCTTAGTTGACACCCTTCTGACCTCTCGGTAATGAGCCTGGCAGGACTAAGTGAAATGAGTAGTTGTTTTTTTAGAGCAGATGTTCCGACAGATATTGAAGTTCCAAACTGTTCAGGGACTTGTAAGTCAAAACTAGCACCTTGAATTGGGCATGGAAACTAACAGGAAGCCAGTGGAGCTATGCCAGGAATGGGGATAATACGATCAATTTTACTTACTGAAATTAGCCTGGCCACCATATTTAGGACCTGCTGAAGTTTCTGTTCTGTCTTCAAGGGCAGCCCCACATAAAGAACATTACAGTGATCTATTCTTGAGAATACCAATGAATGTACTGTACCAGCATTGTTAGGAATTGCCTGTCCAGATAGGCACACAATTGTAAGTAATAAAAGAACATTGTGTATAATTTCAAAAGTATTTTATTGTATTATGAATATGGAAGATAAAATAATATGCACAAAAGTCTTACAAGATACTTGGGTGTACTCAGTTTTTACAAGATTATACCTTTCACTGTTATTTTCAATCAGTGTTTGTGCCATGCAGGGTCCAAGGGAAGTAAGAGATGGTGGGGTTGTTAGCACTTTTATTCCTCCATAAAGCAAAGGGTTGCTTTAAGGGAGAGTGCTCAAAGCAAAGCAACCCTTTCCAGTGCAGTCAGATGTTGCCGCCTTATTGCGCCTCAATCTATAAGCATGTGTGCATCAACAGATGTTTACCAACGGGACAATTACATTCTTTCCAGTTGCATTTGGTGATACATATGATGTTTAGTTATACATCAAGTATTCAGTTAGACTAGTGCCAAACCAGCCAGGCCAGTTTTTTAAAAAGATTTTGAACCTGATTGCATTAACTTCTGCACTCAAGTCAGCACCAATCATTTATTCCACATCCTTGCTTAAAGCCACGTACATAGAGTCACATGCTGCATACATGCAGTACAGTGGTGCCTCGCATGACGATGTTAATTTGTTCCAGCGAAATCGCTGTAGAGTGAAAACATCGTCAAACGAAATAAAAAAGCCCATTGAAATGCATTAAAACCTGGTTAATGCGTTCCAATGGGCTGACAACTCACCGTCCAGCGAAGATCCTCCATAGGGGTGGCCATTTTCCATGCCTGCGCAGTGAGGAATCCGTCCCTAAGCACAGTGGGGGGCCATTTTCTTCAGCCGCCGACCATTTTGAAACCCGACGATCAGCTGTTTTTGATCGTCGTAAAGCGAAAATCGGTTCCCGAAGCAGGGAACTGATCATCACTAAGCGAAATTCCCCCATTTAGACCATTGTTTTGTGATCGCAAAAACCTCATCGTAAAGCAATTTCCTCATTAAGCGAGGCAATTGTTAAGCGGGGCATGACTGTAATCTATGAGTGGGGGAACTAATTCCAACAGCAGCAACAAAAAAGGAATAGACATACGGGTTTTCCTCTGCCACCCCTCCACTCCTTAATGCCACTGACAGCAAAATGGGACAGATTAAGCAGTATCTATTTCTGGGATACATTCTTCAAAACCACAGTGAACCACAGTTCTGATGATGAAGAAGAAGTTATGTTCTCTGTGAAACAGCATTAAACAGTCCAGATTTTGTCTGGGTGAGGAAGAACCTCCACCTGCTTCTCCTTCCCCCTTCTAGATCCACACACATACTCCTTCACATACTCCCTGGTCACCAAGGAAAGAGAAAACAGCATTTAAAAACCATTGGGCTAGGCCAAGAATAGGAGTCCCTTTACATTTCTAGGGATTTGCTAGAAGATACATTCAGCTTCAAGATCCTTTTTCTCATGGAATGTTGTATATGCATTTTCTACTTTGGTCTGGCCCAATGAGGATCACTACCACAGGACTGAATCTGCAGCAAGAAATTCTATGAAGCTGCAACACTTAATAATCACTGCAGCATAACTCCAGAGAAAAGTAGCCCTGCCACTGAATCAGAAAGGTTTGGTTTGGTCACGGATTGGCGCAGGCTGGTTTGTGATCTACTGTACATTGTGTGATCGAACCGTAGTTCACAACAGACTATGGCACATGTTGTCCAAAATACGAGCTAATTCCCTGTCTGATCACACCACCTTCATCTTCCACAAGCCATAGTTACTGTTCTCAATAACTAGAATTATCAATGGTAACATAATGTGTGAAAATTAATCATGTGATTAAAATAAATGCTGAAAAGTTAGTAAATACTTTGCTTTTTATGTGCCACAAGACTGATAATTATTACATTATAATTTTGGTGTTTAGTTATATAAGTACACTTAAGAGGAATCAGCGTCCGATATTGCGGAACAAGTATGTAAGATTTAATATGAGTACGACTTACATTCAGGAGATCCTGATATAGAGGTAGGCAAGTACAGCCTTCAGGATTTTATTTTAGTATTTTAATTCTGACTACAACTCCCACCAGCCCCAGGCAGCACAGCCAGTGATGAGGGTTGATGGAATTTGTAGTCCAAAATATCTGGAGGAACAGTTTTCCACCCATGGACAATAGAGTACTGTGGTCCTCCAGACCTTTTTGGACTGCCATTCCTTGTCAGCAAAGCCAGTGGTAAAGGATTAAAAGAAGTGCAATCCCAAAAGATTTGGGAGATCGTATCTGCCAATTCCAAACTACAGAAGAAATTGCAGTATGCCAGAAGAATTACGGTAGATTCTTTGCTGTTGGAGATATACCAGAATAATGAATAGATACATAATCAAAATGTTATGACAGTTTATCTACTGTGCTGTTATAATTCCACCAGTGTGGCATGGAAGATGGGACAAAAGCATGAGCAGGGCAGGAAAATATATTTATTTATTTAAATGTATTCTACTTAAAATAATTTTACCCCACCTTTCTCATTAAAAGGACCCAATATCAGATGAACATCAAAGATTCTCAAAGGCTTTCATGGCCAGCATCCGATGGTTGTTGTGGGTTTTCCAGCCTGTTTGACTGTGTTCCTAAGGTTTTTCTTCCTAACGTTTCACCAGTCTCAGTGGCTGGCATCTTCAGAGGACAGGAGTCAGTACTCTGTGCTCTGGTGCAGTTTGTTGGATAGTTCAGTATTTATAGCTGTGAGATAGCTTTTGTCCTGTTCAGAACATTGGGTGGTTATGGTGATAAGCATGTTTTTGTTGTGGGTGTATTGTTGTGATAAGGGGGAGAGATGATCTGTCACTGTGATTGATGGGTGTCGTTAGCTGGTCTTTTGTGTGCAGTGATCACTAGTGCTTGTGGCTGGGGAGAGTTCGTTGACCTTTGGCAGGCTGTATTTTTCAGCGCTGGGAGCCAGGCTTTGTTGAGTTTTAGACTTTCTTCTTTTTTGTTGAAGCTCTGCTGGTTTTGGTGGATCTCAGTGGTTTCCCTGTGCAGTCTAACGTAATGATTGCTGGACACTGATTATTAAGTGTTGCAGCTTCATAGAATTTCTTGCTGCAGATTCAGTCCTGTGGTAGTGATCCTCATTGGGCCAGACCAAAGTAGAAAATGCATATACAACATTCCATGAGAAAAAGGATCTTGAAGCTGAATGTATCTTCTAGCAAATCCCTAGAAATGTAAAGGGACTCCTATTCTTGGCCTAGCCCAATGGTTTTTAAATGCTGTTTTCTCTTTCCTTGGTGACCAGGGAGTATGTGAAGGAGTATGTGTGTGGATCTAGAAGGGGGGAAGGGGAGGCACAGGGCAAAAAAAATGCTTTGCTATACACAGATTTGGTGTATTAGCCTCCTAAGAAGCTGAGTTTTATTTTGATCTTTTTGTACATGGGCCTTTTTGTAACTGAACTTTGTCATTCCATAACCTCAAAATGTTTTAATCCATGAGAGGCCAGAGTTTCTCCTTCTGTCATGCCTATGTGGCAAGGAAACATAACAATAAAACATCCCAGCAAAACAGACAAACAAATTGCTGGACAGCTCAGTGGTTTAGGTCTCTGGCTGTGGAGCCATAAGTTGGGAGTTCAATTTCTCACTGTGCCTCCTTGACAAGGGTTGGACTTGATGATCTATATATAGGGTACCTTCCTGCTCTGCAGTTCTAAGATGATGATGATGATGATGATGAAAGTAGGCAGGCTAAGGAGGAAAAAACAGTAATGCTATGGCTGTTGCAGAGAGGTGTTATCTCCCATGTACGACTCCTTAAATACCTTCAGGGATTTTCTAAGATTAGAGTTCCCTAACCTTGAGTGATCAACCCTGAGTGCTCACTGGAAGGACAGATCCTGAAGCTGAGGCTCCAATACTTTGGACATCTCATGAGAAGAGATGACTCCCTGGAAAACACCCTGATGTTGGGAAAATGTGAAGGCAGGAGGAGAAGGGGACACCAAAGCTACCAACATGAATTTGACCCAACTCTGGGAGGCAGTGGAAGACAGGAGGGCCTGGCGTGCTCTGGTCCAAGGGGTCACGAAGAGTCTGACACAACTTAACAACAACAACCTTGAGTGATACACATACAGGGAAATATCTCAAGGTGCTGTGACTTCAAAGAAAGGGGTTAAAAACAGAACATCACCCGAAAAGACACAAAACAGGGACTTCTCGGCGGTGGCTCCTCGCCTCTGGAATAACCTCCACCGGAGATTCATGAGGCCCCTATACTGGGCACATTTAAAAGCCAACTAAAAACATGGATGTACATTCAGGCCTTCCCTCCTGTCAGTACTTAACTCTTTCTTCTTTCTTGCTATTTATTATTTAAAAACAGAACATCACCCGAAAAGACACAAAACAGGGACTTCTCGGCGGTGGCTCCTCGCCTCTGGAATAACCTCCACCGGAGATTCATGAGGCCCCTATACTGGGCACATTTAAAAGCCAACTAAAAACATGGATGTACATTCAGGCCTTCCCTCCTGTCAGTACTTAACTCTTTCTTCTTTCTTGCTATTTATTATTTTATATTTTTGCACTGTTTTTGTTATTGATTATGTTATAATGCTTTTGTCTCATTTAATGTATATGTGTTTTGTTGGAAGCTGCCCAGAGTGGTAGAATATACCAGATGGGCGGGATATAAATCAAATAAATAAATAAATAAATAAATATATGAAGATGGTAGATTGTAGCACAATATGCCATCACACTTGACAATCAACTTCTAGCCACAAGGTGGTGGTGTTGACCTACTGTTGTATGAAAAGTC